TGGTATCGTTTGACAGAATAAAAAAAGGCTTTGGATATTATCTTTCCATTTTTTTAAATTATAAATATAAAAAAAAAGAAGCTATATTTATAAATCTTTTAAGAATCTTAAAAGGTTCCTTATAAGAAATAAATTTCAAGAAATTCTCGTGACTTAATGTTTTGTTTTTTTAAATATTGAAATATTTGTTAACATTTAAATAATATGCTTAAAACATTTTTTACTACAATCTAAATTATTAATGTAATAGTAAAGGCAATAATTAAATTATTTTTGTGTAAGATCTTACTGTATTGGCATTTCAAAAAATTTATTTAATTTATTTAAATGTCATACAGTTTAAGTATTAAAACAAAACTTTTTTTTCATAATTTATTTATAATAGTTTAGATTATATAGCTATTATTAGATATATTATTAAAGGTATCAATAATATATATGTGGCATTGATTCAATGCCACATTTATATTAATGACAAAAAATATTATTAAACTTTGAGATTTACCTGTAACTCCCAACTCTTTACAGAAGTTCAACTTTTGCTCTGAGAAGTTAAATGAACAAAATTTATTAAATGTTAAGTTTTATATAAAAGTCTTTATGTCTGATGATTGAAAATCTTTATTCATAGCTTTAACTTTTACAATTTTAAAGACTTTTTCATATATTACGGTCAAAAAGTCAGAATGTTAATTAACATTTTATTGTATAATAATCAACATATCAAAGCTTATACCACAGGCTTGGTCGGGAAGCGGGAGCGATCGCTCTTGAATACTGACCACCGAAATTATATTTAGTTGCGAAAAACTGGCCAGGTTTTTTAGTCATTCAAGTTTATGAACGTAACAAAAATTTTTTGTTGGATTTCAAAGTTAGTGTTACCAACTTTTAAATCCATTTAAAATCAACTGTTGAAAAAAACAACAGAGTATTCATATTAGTTTAAAGTTTTAACAGTTGCTGGTGGTTCATTATTATTCCTTATATAAACGTTTGTTTAAATTTATCTTATAGACAAAGGTAATACAATATTTTTATAGATGATATTATTTTTAAAAATTGTATTATTAAAATTCAGAACTAACATTTGTAAAAAAAAACATTTAAAAACATTGGACAAGGTCTGTACTGTACCTGGAAAATCTGGAATATGTTAATATTGGCCAAAGTCGTGGAAAACCTGGAAAAGTCAGGGAATTTTTTTTTTTTAGATAGTCATGGAAAAGTCAGTAATTCTAGTTAAGAAGTTACTCATTTCACAATTGAACGCTGTATTTTGGAAACGTGAAGAGTCACACTTTTTTTTAAAGTGAGATTATTTGAGAAGAATATTTTTTTTTAGGAAAAGATAAAATTATATAATATAATAAAATTTTTTTTTAGATAAAATAAAGATTTTTTTTGATAAAATAAAGATTTTTTTTTGATAAAAGAAACAATTTTTTGATGAAATAAAAATAAAATTTTTTACAGGAGAAATGTTTTTCACTCTCGTGTAAAATTTTAATTTTGTGACTTGTCACATTTTCAAAATACAGCGCTTAATTAAGCTATTGTGTTTTTTTTGGAACTACCCATTTATATTTTCTGAAACTTATGTTTTTCTTAGTGTTCATTCTTAGTCATCCTTAATAATAAGATCCATACTAACATGTATAATAAGATCCATACTAATATGCAACTTAACTATTAGCTAATTTTTATAAGTTTTGTCATTCAAAGCATGTATAATCTTAGCATTTCCATTACAGTAGATAAACCATTGTTAAAAATGGTCAGGGAAATTCAACTAATTTTTCAAAAAAGTCATTGAATTTTATATAAATAGTTGGCTACAAACCCTGTTGGAGAAACATTGTTTTAATATGATTTTTTTTGTTTTACAGTCCAGTCTGTATCGTTAACATTAAAGAGAATTGTTTTGTGTCAGTCCCAGAAATTGAATGCACAACTGCAAATTTCATAATTCGTAAAAATATTATGAATCCATTAGCAAGTATATATTTTTATCATTAAAAATTTGCCCCTCTGGCTTTAATTTTATCTGTTTTATTAGTGATTGTTGTATTTACTTTCATAATTCTAAATATAATAATCATAATTCTAAATATAGTATATAATTAGTTGTATAGTTTCTTAATAATATAATTAACTTTATTGTTTTAAGATAAAGTTGTATCCTTGAAAGATATGCTGGTATTATTGGCACAATGGGCAAGCATTGAAGTGCAACTCGGTGAACTACAAAATACATCAAATTCAGTTATAAAAATTTGAGTAATAAAGGTATGCTAATTATTGTATTGCTTAAAAGAGTGTCTTTGCCATTAAAAGCACTGAAGAATTCAAGTACTCTGGTTAATTATTTGGCACAAAGTGGAGTTCAAGACGAAGGAGATTGTATATGTTATTTACTAAGAATAGTTTTTTAAAATAGCCTAGCTGTAAAATTCAACTATGCAGGGAGAGGACAAAAAATTGGAATAGGAAAAATGCTGATAGTAATTTTTTAATTTAAAACTAAATGTGTCAGTTTTTGGTTTAAATTTGGTGTTTGTAATATGTATATTTAACCGAGAAATTATGTTAAATAAATAAACTTCTATACTTGTATCATACATTCTTTTTTTTCTTGATAATTTTTCAATGTAGCAATGCAAATCATCTTATTTGTAACAACGATCTAATGTTGCATAAAACGTTAGGCCGATATAAAAATAATAATCCTATAACATACGATATTGGGCCCATGTTGTATACAACGTTAGGCCAATTTTGTATACAACGTTAGGGCAATGTTGTATTCAACGTTGGGCCAATGTTGTTTACAATATTGGCCTAACGTTATATACAACGTTGTGCCAAAGGTAAACGTTGTATTCAACATTGGGCCAATGTTGTACACAACTTTGGGCCAATACCTAACCAATGATCAAACCTGCATTAGGCCAACATCGACTTTCAACGTTGGGCCAATGCATCATCATGCATTGGCCCAACGTTGGTCCAATGTAAGCTTGCTGTCTGGGAAAGGTAAAAAAAATTTCAATTTGTTTAAAAAAGGCAACAAAACTAGTACCTAAGTGCAAGGATTTAAATTATGAGTGTTAATAGGAAATTTGGTACCAAGCCTACAACTTTAAATAAACTCAAAAACATTTAGACAGTTGATTTATCAGAAAAAAGTTATTGGCTACTTATAGTCAGGCTTGGTGTTATTAGCTGCTACGGTCAGTAGTGTTAGTTTAAGTGCTATTATGCATAAAAAATTTTTTTTTTTGCATAATACCACTTAAACTAGCATTAACGTTGAAAGGCCTCTAGTGCTAAATATATTTTGTAATATTTTGTTACAAATCTTTTCCAGTTGTTATATATATATATATATATATATATATATATATATATATATATATATATATATATATATATATATATATATATATATATATATATATATATATATATAATAATAATAATAGAGTTTGATTATTTGAAAAAATACAACTTTTTGATGGTACTTGAAGTTTCATGCCCTTCGGCAATCATCAGCCATATTTTATTCTTTTAAAACAGAATTTGATATTTTGCATTAACATTTTTTTAAGGGCAGTCTTATTTTCTCTCTATAAAACACGTCGTCACGTTTTCTCTGTAAAAAACACGTCTTATTATATTATATTAGAGTAAGTATTTTCGATCCCCAAAAAAAAAAAAAAATATCAAATTCTGTTTTCCAAAAATAAAAATCTAATTAACAAAAAAAGTGAAATGATATCCAAATGCAGGCATCGAAAACAAGTTTCTTCTCGCCCACTTCGACACGACTGATTAAACAATTTTCTAATTAAAAATTTTGTTTTGACGTCAGAACTCATTCTATTGCTTTGTTATTGTTTTTTCTGTTAATTTTTGTATTTTGTATTTTTTAACGGTTTTTCTTGTTTTAAAAGAATAAAATATGGCTGATGATTGCCGAAGGGCATGAAACTTCAAGTACCATCAAAAAGTTGTATTTTTTCAAATAATCAAACTCTATTATTATTATTATTATTGATCTATTTTGTAAACACTTACATTATATTGATCACTCTCAAACGAACAAGAGATTTTTGTATCTTAATTTGGTACAATAAAACAACAATATATATATATATATATATATATATATATATATATATATATATATATATATATATATATATATATATATATATATATATATATATATATATATATATATATATATATATATATATACGACATCGCAATTGTGATGAGTATTTTAGTCTTTATTTGAATGTTTCTAAAGGTTAAGTTACGCGTGTTTGCATAGGTTGAGTTACGTGTGTTTATAGATAAAGCAATTCGAATTTAGAAGTCCAGTCATGGAGAAAGAGTTTGAGCCTAAAGAAGTTTTTGATAAGCGACTTGTAAGTAACTGTCTGATGATCTCGTGTTTTGCTTTGAAAAAAATTACTAACACTCTGGCATTGGCTAACGCATCAACAAGCAATAATTTCATTGAAAATTTTAGATGAAAAAAAAATTAAAGGGAAAAAAATCAATTTTTATTTTTATTATTATTAAATCGATACTTAAGTAATTTTATTTTCTTTAAATAGTTGGAAATGTGTAAGCAGTTTGGGATGTTGGTAATTTAGGTTTAACATTTTTTAGAAGTTTTTTTTTTACGTTTAATGGAAACGTCAAATCCCAATAATTTTAAATAAAAGTTAATAAAATAATAGTGTCTAAATAATGCTGTCTTAATAAAATAATAGTGTCTAAATAATACTGTCTTAATAAAATAATAGTTTTTAAATAATACTTAATAGAACCAAAAAAAGAGTTGAACATATTTAAAATATTTTTACATTTACATAGATTTTTTAGCTTGAAGCACAGCCAGCACTGTTGCTCCCAAACTTAACAAAACGCATTTACGCATATAAACACACAATCATTTTTTAATTCGTAAAAAAAAAACTCCTTACCAGCTCTCATTGCTGTTTCTCCTATGTACGCATCATCTATTTTTAGAGGTCTTTTTATGTCAAAATATGGAATAATATCAACAATACTTTTCCTCGTCAAAATATAACCTCCACCAGAACAGTATGGGCTGTAAATTTCTGATAGATGTTCTTTTTCTGAAACTGCGTATTTTCCGATTCTTTCCACTAAATTGTTGAAGATAACGCTTCCGTAGTAACCGTCAGTAGTTGTAGTATTGTCTACAAATCGAATAGCGTTGTTTATGTTAACAAATACATCATCATCCACTTTTAAAAGAAACTTAAAGTTAAGATTGTGGAGGCTCCAGGTAAGACCAACAATCAACTTGTGGGATAGCAGGTAAAAGTCTTCTGTAATGTCTACGCATAATATATCCTTGAACCTTTTTGCTTCTCGATTTAATTTCCTCATCACCTTGTCATCTGGTTCTTGCCCTGTGACAAAAACTATTCGCCATTTTTTTTCTTTCCATACTGATTTATTACCCCATAAAGACCTAATCCACTCCCTACGCCAATAATTTCTTGGATGTGACGTAACCAACACGAGTAACTTATAAGTAGTGTTGTATTTCACAACACTGTCTAGTTTTATAAAACTCAGTGTGTGGAGTTGTTTTAGTATATCTAAATCCATATTAAAACTAAAATTTCCCACATTTGCGTTCTCGATTGTTTTTATTTTATTTTTTTTTTTTTGAACTTTGTTTATTTGACTTTTAATTTGAAGGTATTTACTTGCTTCTTGTTGATCTTTTTTCATTTTATACAACGTAACTTTCAATTCGGTTGTTGAGTTTTCAATTGATGAGATAGCAAAATCAACAAATGAATTATTCTTAATTACTAAATTGGATAGCATAACTATGATGGAAATTGTTGCTGCCGCCAATATTGTAGGTACAAGCGAAAGTCGCATTGTAACAGATGAACAATATATTTGAAGCCTAAAAAATGTTTTGCTTCGTTTTAACTAATCAACACGGTAAAATTACTTTTAAACGCGATAACTTTAAAAAATATTTACTTTATAATACTTTCAAACGTAATGAATTAAAAAAAAATTAACTTTATAATACTTTTAAACGTGATGTCTTTTAAAAAAACTTTACATTTACTTTTGTGTTGAAGATAAAGACAAATTGTTTCAAGAAATTCCTATAAGTCAAAAACAATTGGAGATTATAACAGGATTATAAAATACAAGAAAGTACGAGTAACAGTAAAAATCAACGCATAATATTTAAAATAGTCGAACTAGTTTTAAAGTTACATCTTAATTGAATCGGTGAAAAGGAGAACAGTACTAGTCCAATACTTTCATTTAGAGGTAATCAATGTTTAAGTATTATTCTTCGTTTAAATCTACTTTATGGCAAAAAATAATGAAAGAAAGATGGACAAGTATTTTTTTTGTAGTACACAGAGAGATTGACATAAGTTAAATGAAATAATGAAAAAAAGTTCAAATAACAAAATAATGAAAAAAAGTTCAAATAACAAAATATGGACTACTACTGTTCTTCTTTTCACCTATTCAATTTATAATAATTACCCCCGTTACACTTATTCTAAATATAAAGAAAATTTATATGAAAAAAATTACGTAAACTATTTAATGTTTACTTCCCAGTAAACATTAAATAGTTTGTAAGTAGTTGGCCCGATCATAATTACCAACTATTAGAAATAGTTGGGCCGATAGTTGGCTTTTTAGTTGGTACCGTGGAAAAAATGTTACGCTATTACCAATATTTAGTCAACTGTTTTAGCCAACTGTTGGCCAATTAATAGTCCAACAGTAATATACTGTTATAAAAACGGTTGGCTAACAGTTGGTACCATTATCAGCCCAACTATTTGATATTTTTCGTGATTTTTTATATTCGCTTTTGCGCTTTAATCGAAAGTGAAAAAGTTATGTAAAAATAATAAAGCATTACTTTTATTATAACTTCTAGTTCTTATTTAAAACTGATTGATTGGTGTATAAAAGTTGTATATCAGCTTTTACCAGTCAAGTAGTACTATTTCCCACGCACAAAAACTGTATTATTTATATATAACTTAGTTGAACACACAAAATAAACAAATTTTAAATCATCAAACTTTTATTTCCAAATCTTTTAAGAAAGCTCATTATTTACAAATAGAAAATTTAAAATAAATATTATCGTATATTTTAATATAAGGTTTCAAATTGTTATTGGCAGTTTTATTTAAAAAAGCTAGTATTTTAAAATGTTGCTGTTCATTTGAAAATTATAATTATAATAAACAAAAATGATAATTATTATGTAACAGAAAATTATTATATAACAGATAAAATTTATAAATTTACAAAATAAAATAAAAACTAAATATTATCTTGATTCATTAACTGCAAATGATTTTTTATAAGTATGCTCTTCGCTTTTCTACTCATTTTTATTCGACCATCACCCTGATCAATTGCTCCTTAAACCATCTTGAAATGATCGGGTACAATTCTTTATCCTTAGAATTTATTGAATTTTTACTGTCTCTAAAACAATAAAAAATAAACTGATTTAAAAATTCAATTAATTTTTTGTTTAAATATAAATTATTTTAAAGTTTCATTAAAATAAATAATAAATATATATTTTATATATATATAACGAATTCCTTTATACTTTTTAAGAATCGCTTAGCTTAATAGTAAATCATAATTGACATTGGCATTAATGTTGCCAATGTCAACTAGCATTGGAAATCATAGTTGACAGTGGCATTAAAATGTTTAAAATACTAATGAAAAATATAATATCATACAAATTCACGGCAAATGATGACACTGGCAATTGTCATTAGTATTGACATTATATTAGATTCTTTTTCGGTGTTTTAAACATATTGCAACTCTAATATTACAGTTGTCTTTGTTTCAAGACTCAAAATGAACGTAATTACTTACATACTAAACATTTCACCACAAAATGATAACTTCGTAACTTGATCTTTCCAATTCCAGTTGCCATCGTCTTAATCGGCGATCCATTAAGACTGCATAAAACGCCGAATTTTTAGAAAACATTGCTCCCAACACTCGTCGTACGTATTGTGCCCGCTCAACTTTACCGCCTACAGAACGCAGATATTCAACCTAAAAAAATTTGATGCTCATTTTATATTTTTTTCTACTTGAGTAATTAAATGTTCAAGGTAAATGAAATTTAATGCAGGTATTATATAACTAAGGTATTATAAAATATACTAAATGTAATGTATACTCTTACCGTTAAACGATAAGTTTAAAACTTATCTCTTCAATCTTATAAAATAATAGTTACTATGAAATAGGTAGATTGGTAGAAACATAATAATATAAAAAATAATTTTTTTATTTTAATGGTACTATTTTTTTAATCTGGTACTTAAAGTTTCTTAAATTTCATGTTTTCATTCGCATTCGAATGGAATTCCATTCAACGTGAATAAAATATATTATACATACATAAATTATTATAATATACAGTATCGGACAAAACAAGTGCAACCAAATAATGCTAATTTAGTTTCTTTATATAAAAGTGCTGCATTTTTTCAATTTAGAGAAATAACTATGTAACTGTTTAGAGACAACGTTCTTCAAGTTTTATTCATCACAAACTTCATTATTTGTACACGAAAATTAAAAAATTAATTAAAAGTATTAAAAAAATTTAATTTCCTTCTGGACAAAACAAGTGCAACTCTACAAATTGTTAACCAAGCTGTATTTCGCTATCAATATTTTCGTGACGAATCCTTTGTTGTCGATCACAGCCTTGCATCTTCGAGGCATATATTCGATCAGGTGATTAATGAAACTTTGTAAAATCGCTGCCCAGGCCTTTTGAATTTGTTCAAACAGTTGATCCTTATTACAAACACCTTCACAATTACTTCTGTGTTTGACAATCTCCCACAGGTTCTTAATAAGGTTGAGATCCGGAGATTGAGGCGGCCAACCCATCGCCGATAGGTGGTTTTCTTGAAACCACTGCTTGACTACTTTTGCAGTGTGTTTCAGATTGTTGTCTTGCTAAAAAAACCATTTTATTGGCATATTCCATTCAGCATGAGGTAACATAGCATCTTTCAGGATATATTTGTAAATGAAACGGTCCATTATTCCATTGATTCGATGTATTGGACCAAGTTAACAGAAAAACATTAACATCCCAGATCATTACATTGCCTCCACCTTGCTTCACGGTCTTATGGGAGTAATGTAAATCGAGGCGTTTTCCGGCCGGTCGACGTACACGGCGAGTGTCATCGCTCCCAATGATGTTGAACTTCGATTTATTACTGAACAGGACAGTTTGCCATTTCTGCACATTCCAGTCAATATGAGATGTAGCAAACAGAAGTCTTTTCTTCTGGTTCTTTAGTGAAATCAGCGGTTTCTTTGCAGGGCGTCGAGAAAACAATCCGGCTTCAACAGCACGTCGTCTGAATGTTCGGTCCGATACAGGCAGCTCTAATTGCTTTTGTATCTCGACTGATGATATCCAGAAATCCTTCTTGACGGATCTGACGATCATAGAATCCTCTCTAGAAGTTGTGGAACGCGGTCTTCCACCTTTGTTTTCTGCTGCCAACTTCCCCGTAGAACGATATTTGGAACATAGTTTGGATACAGTCCATTTTTTTACGAGATATTTATCACAAATACTTTTTTGTGACATTCCACTTAGTAATCGCCAATAATTTTCTTTCTTAGTTCCAATCCAAGACTGTCGGAAGCCATTTTTGCACTTGAAGTCATAAAAATAATAAAAATAAATAATCACGCTTCTCAAGGCTTACCGTGTTACATTTACCTTGTGATGATACAATATTGCTCTGTGGAACACAACGTCTTGGTTGGATGTGGACTGTATTGATGTAATGAAAAATTGACTGTGTAGAACATGACTGTGTAAAGCTTGAGTTGTGTTCTCGAACTGTGGGTGTCAACAAGATTGCCTTTATATATTTTATGACTGAGATAAGTCGGCGATAATTTTCCTTTATCAATCTTTTTCACTACCTTGTATTAAATTCGAGACGAAACTATGGTAAACCTTCAAAAGTGGACGTTTGTCTAAAGTAGCGTTGACTCTCAACTGCTTATTCGTTTCAATATAAAGAGCTATCTAATGTTCTTGCCTGATCTTTACTATTCGTTGGATTTTAATGATTTTTATTCATAAAGGTTGATACAGCTTTAGCTTCCAGTAATGTACAACGTATCCTTCTTTAGTGCGGGTGTTAGAAACAAGCTTAGTGCATTTGATGTATGTCACTTTAAGCTTTTCAACCAATTTTTACTTGTACTTAGGTTATTGGGTACGACAAGTTATTAGGAAAGAGTTAATAAGTTTTGATGGCAATCGAGAACAATGTCTTTAGGTTAGCAGGCCATGTCTCGCCCAGGCATAAAGATTGTTGGTATCAAGAAGTTATTTAAAACTGTTCGGCTTAGCGTTGTCATAATTAAGGCACTCTGGATTCATTTCTTCAAAGATTTCAAATGCTTCAGCATTTGAAATCATTGAAATTCTGTTTCTTAGCTCTTTTTTGAAAAAAAAAACGTGACGTTATGCTGAAAAAAAAAACAAAGTCAGAATTGACTTTGTTTTTTTTTTCAGCATAACGTCACGTAACATACCTGGAGAGATAAAATAGTGAGTTGGTTTGAGGTTGTAATATTTTTTTGATGTCTTTCTAAACTTTTCAAACATACTTGCAAGAAGCGTTACATTAATTTTTAGGTAGTTGTCGTAATCCAATTCACTAAAGTTATCGTAATCCAATTCTTAAAGCCGAGAGCGCGACTTTATGCGCATGCTGGTAATCTTCATCATCAATACCATTTCCGGAAAGTTTAGAATAAAAAGCCTCTGTAGGCTGTAGCTGAGTTTCATTGAAGCGGTTATCAACATACCCATATATTAAATAATCTCAATTTGAAAGACTTACGACGAAAGTCTTTCAAATTGAATATATATATAATAAAGCATCAAGTGAGGAATTTAAAAACTAAAAAGTCATTAAAAGATAGCTGTCCAACAATAATGCATATGTACTT